AGGCCACCCTCCACGCCGAGGGCGTCCACATTTACGCCGCCGCGCGCCTGAGTCATCACGTCGTGGTACGTGATGCCCCGTTCTTTGGCGGCCGGCAGCAGCTCCACGACTGCTGCAGCCGACCGCGGGGCGCGCGGCCTCCTTCGTCCAGTTCGGCCCCTAGGCTCCGCTCGACCCTCTTGACGGGGAGCGGCGGCCGTAGGGGCGGGCTTGGGGCGCGGCACGACAGGCGCCGCAACCTTTTTGGGCCCGCGCCGCACCACCGTCGTCCAGGCCTCGTCCATGTTGGCCGGGGCTGGGGGCAGTGGGCGGGGCTGGGGGGTCGGTGCCGGTTTGGCGGCGTTGGTCCGCCCCTTCTTTTTGTTTCGGCTCCTGCCAGGCCCCGCCTTCGCAGGCTGGGACGGGGCAGGAGCGGACACCGGTTTTGATGCAGGGGCCGTGGGTGCCGGCGCCCCTGCAGCCGCGGGTTTAGGTGCAGCCGCAGCGGGAGTTCGCGCGGGTGTAGCCTTCTTCTTCCCGCTGTATGCTTTTACAGCGGGCTGCACACTCCTGCGGGGTGCCGGCACAGGCGTACTTCCGTTAGCCTCGTGAGCGAGGGGCGGTCTCGCGCGCTCCACCTTGGAGCTGCGCGCCTCCTGTATGAGGAGCTGCCGCCTCAACTCGTCCACCTCACTGAGGCCTTCCGCTTCGGGCGGAGGAGGGGCAGGGGCCGAGCTGCGTTGCCGCTCGATGAGGTCGGCAACCATGGTCCTCAACTCAGCCATGTCCACTCGCAGCTGCCCATTCTCCGCCCGAAGTTTGCCATTCTCGTTCGAGAGTTGCTCGAGGCGGGCGTGCTGCAGGGCCACTTCCTGCCGCAAGCCCGCCGTCTCCGTCGTCGTGGTGCGGTCCACCACTTCCCTCAGACGTTCTTCTAGGGTGGCCGCTCCGGATTTTAAGGCCCGCACGCAGTCACCCTTGAGTCCACCGCCGGATGTTGCCACGACTGCGGAAACTAATTTTCCGACCACCTCGAAAGCTCGGAGGGGGTCAGAGGGACCCACCTCCGTTAGGGAGCGCTCTAGGCGCTGAACCACTCCAATCTCAAATTTTTCCCGGGCNCCCCGGCCAGGCAGCGCTCCAAACGCGCGACCTCTCCGGTTTCCGCTTTTCCTCTTGCCTCACAGCAGGCGGCCCTGGACTGCGCCGAGGAGGCAGCAGCCAGTCCGCGAGAAGAGACTGCGTCACAATCTGTGGCGGGCGGCGCCGCAGCAGCCGCCGGCCCTTCCGCCAACGCCATATATTTGGCGCTGGCAGGCTCGCCAGGCGTCCCCTAACGGCTCACTTTTTTTTTTTTACCTGCTTTTAAGCTTTTCAACATACAAAATATATTTACACAGTTTATGTGTAGGGACAGGTAAGCGCGTCCGCATGCAATCAATTGCATTACGTTACGCTAGTTGCCCGGCGGCGGCGCCTTTCTTTGTGTAAACACATGTACCATCTTACGGAATAAACGGTGTTTTTCATTATGTGTATTAGTTCTTCATTATTGACGTCACAATCTGTAACAACATCTACAGAAGTGACCCAAAAGTTGTCTTAATAGACAGACAAATAAGCAGCACACTCGCCTGATGAAAAGTAGTCCCTGCTAACCGTGGACAGCAGCAATACTTATTTTATTTTTGTAATTTATCTTCAATGAAAAAAGCTTTTTTTTGTTTAAATAGACAAGAAACCTTGAGACCTATAATAAGAGTTTTAACCAACCAAATGAAACCAACTGTAACCGAATGCGTTTCGTGTTTATGATCGCACACTCAAGAGTATCCAATTTTTGTTTTTTTTATAATACCTATTATGAAGATGACCGAATATGAATGCTGACCTCATAAGAGGTCGTGATTTCGATAAGTTTCAGTAACAGTAAGCAAAAGATAAACAATAAATAATAATAATAATAAATGGGAACAAATAATTAATCACGCACAATCAACAGTCCAGTCCATCGCGGTACCAGAGATACATACTGACAGAGACATACATAATTATATAATTATTTTCGTTTATATATTTACATATATAGAAAATAATCACCCAGACGAAGAGCAAACAAACTAGTTCATCGCAGAAATTACTGGTCCTAGGATCTCATGTGAGTCCACAAGGGTAGGTACCACCCCTACCTGTTTCTGCCGTGAAGCAGTAATGCGTTTCGGTTTGAAGGGTGTTGCAGCCGTTGTAACTATACTGAGACCTTAGAACTCATATCTCAAGGTGGGTGGCGGGATTTACGTTGTAGATGTCTATGGGCTCCGGCAACCACTTAACATTAGGTGGGCCGTGAGCTCGTCTACCCATCCAAGCAATAAAAAAATGATGTTTCCCGGAAGTAGGAATCGAACTTACGACCCTCAACGCACCACTGAGTCAATCAAGATAAATAAGTACAAAGATAAATAAAACTAGCTTTTTAATTAACAAAACAACCGTAACTCGGAATGGTTAATTCGTTGAAATTCCAGAGATACGCCGGGAGCATCTAAAGAGACCCTAACGGTAACTAGTTTTCAAACTTTGTATTATACATAATTAGAGTGTTGACGTTTATTCTTTAACAGTGAAGTTTTTCCATTCTATTATACATCTGTTTTTTTTAATGGCTTAGAAACCTTAACAAACTTACTTCGTGCTACGCGTTAAGTTTTTACAGGAACTAATAGACATGGAAAATTGAAGACGGCCACCCATCTTGACAAATTTCTATGCCAGTTGAAATATCAGCGCAGTTCTAACTTTATTTCCGTGAAAAACGAAATGGTAAACAAATGATTTAAATAAAAATTACTTAGTAAGAATCTAATGTAACTTTAATTTTATCTATGGGCCAAAATGTTTTAATTTGGTTTTTTTTTTTTATTGCCCTTGTAGGCAGACGAGCAAATGGCCCACCTGATGGTGAGTGGTTACCGTCGCCAATGGACTTCAGTTATGCCAGGGGCAGAGCCAAGCCGCTGCTCTGAAACTATACAAATGATTAAACAATACTTTAAATACGTTGCCTTAGATAAAAATGTGGCACAAGATTTAAAACTTCAGGTGACCTGTTTCAGTCTAGTTTTAAACAAAGCTTTATTCGTGTCAAAACTCTGCAGAAAATTCTAGAAGAGATTTACGATTCTCATTTTTAACTCAACGAAACAATTTAACTAGTTAAATCTACTAGGATACTTTGGAAACATTACGGACGTTAAAGTTTAGCTTCTATAAGTTTAATCTTCTTTTCGTAGTTTTCTTCAGTTAGCGAGAATCGCGGAAGCTGTTCGAGCATTGTTTGTTCTTTTATTACACGTTCTTTTATTACACGTATTATAACTTTTAAACTATTGCATAGCTTTTATCGCGGGCCTTGAGCGCGGCGACCGAATCATGAAATTCCGTAACGAAAAAAACCTAACACCCCTCACTCCGCCTACCATGTAGCTCGCGTTCAACACATTCACACGTTGCGCTTGTGTAGTGTTTGTGAATAAGCGCGTGGCGTGACGTCACACTGCATGCGCATCATGAAAAGTCTGCCCATCTCTCTNCGACCGAATCATGAAATTCCGTAACGAAAAAAACCTAACACCCCTCACTCCGCCTACCATGTAGCTCGCGTTCAACACATTCACACGTTGCGCTTGTGTAGTGTTTGTGAATAAGCGCGTGGCGTGACGTCACACTGCATGCGCATCATGAAAAGTCTGCCCATCTCTCTCTCGCGCGGTCTAGCTTATGAGTGTGAAGGGTACAGTTAAGGTTTTCTTTTATTAATGTTTAATATAGCGTGGTTTTGTTTTATTATTGTTTTAATATTAAATTATCATTGTCTAATTATAATTGCATAAGTTGATAAAAAATGCTATGCAATAGCTTTACCGCGGCAGTTCCGGAGTGCCACACGTTTTTTTTATTTTTTTCTTATTTAAACGTATCTGAGATCCGTATGGTGCACTGTGTAAGCAAGATAGATGGCGGGTGAACAGATGGGTATAGCGATAAGTGAAACAGTATTTTTATTTTTATTTAGATGGGCACCTTCTACTGGCGGCCCTCGTATTGTTAAGAGCTTACCCATAGATACAAAGTGAATGCTGACAGTTAAAATGAGAGGGCTCGTATTTTTTTTTGTAATAGCATTTTACGAATCAGTGCAATCTTTATAGGAGCGGGGATTACAGCGTTGGCCAGTGCTCCTCTGGCCAACCTTCTCTTCTTGGAATGATCCGTCTAAGATGTTTCCAGAGCGCTTTGACATGTCCATCTTCAAACGAGGCTTATGGAGAGTACTTAACGGTAGGCAGCGGCTTGGCTCTGCCCTGACATTGTTGACGTCCATGAGCCATGGTTACCAATCACCATTAGACGGGCCATATAGTCGTCTGCCTACAAGGGTAATAAAAAAAACTAATTATCGTTTAAAAGAGAAAAATGGCTGGCTCCGGCTCCAATCAGGCTCGAAAAATGGCTGCGATGGCGGCTCCAAACAGGACGCGTCATCTGTTTTTAATTTAAAGTTTCTTGTAGGAATTCAGTGCGTCATGATTTTCAAATATGCGTGATTGATGATCCATTTGAATTCTATGTTGTATAACTTTTGACACTCAACTTAAAGTAGGTACACTCATGAATCATAGACATAATTAAATCTAATTTAATGATTTAATAGCGCATTTGATTTAGTTTCTTTTCTTTTACAGAAAACTAGCCAGTAGCTATCCCAATACTTAGATAATTATTTAATAGATAATAGATGTAAATAACATATTTCCTTTTTTTATTTATTGCCCGTGTAGGCAGACGAGCATACGGCTCACCTGATGCTAAGTAATTACGGTCGCCCATGGACTTCAGCAATGCCAGGGGCAGAGCCAAACCGCTGTCTACCGCTGCCTATGTTTTACGTGACCAAGAAAACTATAAAGAATACTAACGTCTGAAATAATACTGTAGGGTGCGGTGTGAGTTTGTTAGTTAAAGATAATGTTGCTTAAAAATGTTTATTGTTAAAATATAGAGAAAATAAATTAAATGTTAATGTTATGAATGCACCCGGGTGACGCGGTTGTTGATCGTGCACTGACGGTTTGTGGAAATGAAGTTAACGCGTGATGCGAATTATGCTGACAAAGGTGTACGGTAATATATCACCGAACAAATACATATAACAAAAATTATAAACGAGAGATTAAAGCTCTGTCAGTTTGATTCGGTGTGATTGATCGGTCCATTATATTTTACTGTACGATTGGTAATTAGCAAACTTAGGGGTTTGAAGCGTAAATAAATAACTTTGTTAAATTTTTTATCTCTACCTATTCGTTTGTAGCCTTAGGTGCTATTTCGATTACGCGTGAGCCCGCAGACGAGCTCACGAGCTCAACCTGAGAGGATTCCTAGCAAGCCCTAGCAAGAGCTTCGTTGAATTTAACTCCAGATTTGAATCGCAACCCACTGAGGAGATCCGGTGAGAAACTCAGTAAATTACGGGTCAATTTACGGGTGGTATGACGTAACACCAACACCTTAATAAAGTATATATTGACATATACACCGGAACTGGTAATACAAGAAGGCACTGGCTTTCAATGACGATGACAAGGCTGAGCTGCTGGCCGATGCACTGCAAGAGCAGTGCACCACCAGCACTCAATACGCGAACCCCGAACACACCGAGTTAGTCGACAGGGAGGTCGAGCGCAGAGCTTCCCTGCCACCCTCGGGCGCATTACCCCCCATTACCACTGACGAAGTTAAAGAAGCGATCCACAATCTCCAACCTAGGAAGGCATCCGGCTCCGACGGCATTCGCAACCGCGCGCTAAAACTCTTGCCAGTTCAACTGATAGCAATGTTGGCTACCATTTTAAATGCCGCTATGACGATCTGCAACTTTCCCGCGGTGTGGAAAAAACGGACGTTATCGGTATACATAAGCCGGGCAAACCGAAAAACGAAGCAGCTAGTTACCGTCCGATTAGTCTCCTCCCAGCGATAGGCAAAATTTACGAACGGCTCCTTCGGAAACGCCTCTGGGACTTCAATACCGCGAACAAAATATTAATAGACGAGCAGTTTGGGTTCCGCGCCAAACACTCGTGCATACATCACGTGCACCACCTCACGGACCACATCTTAATAAATAGGAGTAAACAAATCCCGACCGGCGCCCTCTTCTTTGATATCGTGACGGCGTTCGACAACGTCTGGCAAAACGGTTTGATCTACAAACTGTACAACATGGGAGTGCCAAACAGACTCGTGCTTATCATACGAGACTTCTTGTCGAACGGTTCGTTTCGATATCGAGTAGAGGGAACTCGTTCTCGTCCCCGTCAACTGACTGCCGGAGTCCCGCAAGGCTCCGCACTCTCCCCGTTATTATTTAGTTTGTATATCAATGATATACCCCGGTCTCCGGAGACCCATCTACTACTCGTGTAGGAAGATGTCGCTGCTTCATCGGCGACTCCAGATCGCAGTAGCCACCGTGGGACAGTGGTTCCGGAAGTGGCGAATTGACATCAACCCCACGAAAAGCACAGCGGTGCCCTTCAAAAGGGGTCGCCTTTCGAATACCACTTCGAGCATCCCACTCCCGACTAGGCGCATCAACACCTCCGCCGTTGGCCCTATCACTCTTTTTGGCCAGCCCATACCGGTGGGCTTCGAACGTCAAATACCTAGGCGTCACCCTCGACAGAGGGATGACATTCCGTCCCCATATCAAAACGGTACGCGACCGTGCCGCCTTCATATTAGGACATCTTTACCCTATGCTTTGCAAACGAAGCAAACTGTCCCTCCGTAATAAGGTACAAAACTCTACAAAACTTGTATACGCCCCGTCATGACGTATGCAAGCGTAGTTTTCGCTCACGTAGCCCGTACCAACTTGAAGCCCCTTCAGGTTATTCAATCCCGATTCTGCAGGATAGACATCGGGGCACCATGGTTTCTGAGAAACGTGGATCTCCACGATGACCTCGAGCTCGACTCTGTCAGGAAGTATCTACAGTCGGCATCATTGCGCCACTTCGAGAAGGCGGCACGACATGAGAACCCTCTTGTCGTGGCCGTTGGAAACTACATACCCGATCCTGTAGACCGAATGGTAAACAGTCGACGTCGCCCAAAACACGTCATTACGGATCCTCCCGATCCATTAACGGTGCTCTTAGGCACCACAAGCATCGGTCACCGTCCTTGTCGAACCCGTCGCTAGCGACGAAGAGCTTGGCGAACGAATTAACCCATAGACACAGCCCACTGAGTTTCTCGCCGGATATTCTCCGTGGGTCGCGTTTCCGATCCAGTGGTAGATTCTGCGAAGCATTGCTCTTGCTAGGATCAGTCTTAGCGACACTCCGCTTTAAGCCCCGTGAGCTCACCTACACACGTTAGGGCGAATCTGAAATAGCCTCTCAAGGCTATCTATCAACATAGGTAGGGAAAAAAAAGATGGTACACAGGAATGGAGAATCACAATTACCAGCACGAATTTTTTAAATGGTGAATATGACAAGCAGAATTCTGAACACAATAAGGGAGTACGAAATACATTCCACGTCAGAATTCTGACTCCTAGCGCTTTTAAAATATTCGAAATATTTTTAGTAACGGATGATCTAAGTCGCCAGGCGTGAAGCTGTCTGTAAGTTACTTTTGCACCTTGGTTTCTCTCTTTATCGAAAAATTACAAACAATAAATACATTATTAATTTATTATTTTTATAAATTACATTTGTAATGTACAAGTACAATTGTAATTATAAATTACAATTAAAACACTTGTGTCACAATCGTATGACTGCTCATCAATCAATGCTATAAAAATATAAAAGAGACAAATCTGAACAGCCTAAAAATTCGATGTTGTTGAATTTCTGGCTTCATCTTCAGATCCACTCGATGATTCCAAATATATTTTGATTGTAATTAATTCAGATTAAAATAGTTATAGTTTCAAATCAATCAAGAAGTTTCCGTTTACTTTCAAAATTTAGTTTACATAAATGAAAATTAAAACTAACAAAATCGTCTGTATGAAGTATGAAGTTTTATTTCAAATATTTCGTTCCAAGAATGAGCCGATGAAACAAACAGCGTTGTAGCACTATGCGTTTTTACGAATACTCACGACTGCTATTATTTATTTCTATATAATTCGTCTGCCTAACTTCCATTATTCTTTCACCTAACTATTGAGTACTGGTGGCAAGAGTTATTATGAGCTCGAGTCACTACATAGCTACCTGAACATTCTGCTCGGAGTTTGGAGAAAATGATAAAGGAAAAATCTTCCACCAAGCGGGAGAAGTTGCTCGGTAGACCAGCATAGGTTCGAATGTATTGTTCGGAACCTGTATATGTGCAATTTATTTTTAAAATATCGTTAGCGTGGTTCAGGCATGTGTCAAGTAGGAGTAGGAGATGATTCAGTAAGACCACAGGTGTGACGGTACTAGCGCGAAGAAAATCAGTCCCTGAACTACTCTATTTCTGGAAATAAAGGGAGTTTAGTTGAATGTCGTGTTAGAGGAAAACTGAAAGTGGCATCTGTGACGGAGAAGTTTAGAAGTACGCGTTTACGATGGTATGGACATGTCATGAGACGAAATGAAAATGAGGTTGATAAGAGAGTATTTATTAACTATGAATGTGGAAGGATATAGAGGAAGAGGTAGACCTAAGAAGAAATGGATGAATTGCGTGAAAGACGATATCTGTAAGAAGGGAGTGAGCGAAGAATTGGTATATGATAGAGGAGTATAGAAGGAGAAAACATGTTGAGCCGATCCCAGGTGACTGGGAGAAGAGCAAGAGAATGATGAGTTGAATGTCGGAACAAAGAATATGTAGCGAAAGCGCTTTCATCACATCATTTTTCTAAACAGTAAGAGCCCGAAGTACTGCATAGAATAGACCACTGAGTTTCTCGCCGGATCTTCTCAGTGGGCGGCGTTTCCGATCCGGTGGTAAATTCTGCGAAGTATTGCTCTTGCTAGGGCCAGTGTTAGCAACACCTCCGGTTTGAGCCCCGAGAGCTCACCTACACGCTAGCGTAATGCTGATATAGCCTCTCAAGGCTATCAGCATAGGTAGGAAGAAAAAAAGCTTTCATAACGAGTAAAATCATATACTATATTCTGTTCGTCTTCTCGTGAAATTAATAATCGAATTTATAAAGAACGTACGTCCAACAATTAAATTTCTGGATTCTTGAAATATAATTTAGTTAACATACCACGTTGAAAGACGTGCTCTGAGAGTTTGCAAGCATTCTCAAAGTCTAGACAACAAATAGATTTAAATTCTTAACGAAGCATCAACCGGAATTTTACACAAAGCTGTTAAATGTCATAAGTCTTTGCAAGATTTTGATACCGATCACGAACTTATGTAAAGACGACGGTTGGTGCATTTTGGGAAAACAATCACGTTCCGGGTAAAATAAGTAGATTTTAAGTCAGAAAATCTTAATCATATTAGTCTGTTTAGCTATTTAACAGAAGACACGGCCATATTGAAATTCTTTCAAGCTACTGCTGCTAATTTTTACTTACTTTAGTCGAAGGGTAGTAATGCTCATATCGCATCTGAATTTAAAATGTTATTGTAGACCGCAGACGTCGATCACAACATGATGCTGCCGCCAATATTAGATTTCATTATTGGGGGCTAGCACAAAGGAAGATTTTCCACCGAATGGGTTAAATTGCTCGGTAGACCGACGGTCCGAATGTTATAGTTCGCAATTAATTAATAATGTTTGTAGTATTTTCACCTATTTCTTTGCCAAACTCGTTGGAATCTCCCTTAATTTATTACCAATCATTACGCCTATATTTACGTGCGCTTTGGCTTAGGGAGTAGCTGAGCTAACATCCGTCTGCTAGCTACGAGTCCATGTGCGCTTGTTAAAGGTTGACAAAAAGGGGACCGGTTAATGATATCTACGTTCTACTAGCTCCTAGAAAAGAGTGTACAAATGGATCTCATTGTCAGAAGAAGTAACCTTAGCTTCTGTCGATCATATGATTTGTGTACCTCTCTACCAGCATTAACAGCAGAATTTGACATTGTCTATCCAACAGTGTCGATTATGACATGATTATGAAATGAAACCCGCAAAATTATATTTTGCGTAATTACTGGTGGTAGGACCTCTTGTGAATCCGCGCGTACCACCGGTGGGTACCACCACCCTGCCTATTTCTGCCGTGAAGCAGTAATGCGGTTCGGTTTGAAGGGTGGTGCAGCCGTTGTAACTATACTTGAGACCTTAGAACTTGTATCTCAAGGTGGGTGGCGCATTTACGTTGTGGATGTCTATGGGCTCCAGTAACCACTTAACACCAGGTGGGCTGTGAGCTCGTCCACCCATCTAAGCAATAAAAAAAATTATATATATCGCAAATATTTATTTATTTTTATATTTATAAAAACGCTGGTAGTCATAATTTGCGTAATGATAAAAATGTCATTTAAAAAAAGTATTAAAATTATTTGAAATCAAATTTTTCGTAGTCGCTTTTTTTACTACTGTATCACGGGTGTAATATCATCGGCCGCAATCGTCGTTCCTAGTTTATCAATTCTAATCTCAAAATGTTGTCACGCATCTTCTTCTTCTTCTGCCTAGCGTTTTTCCGGTCTAGTGCCAGCGACCCCTTTCCTAATTAAACTCCTTCATTTTGTCTCATTTTCATAACACGAAAAAAAAAATTTTTTGTCATACGCGTGGATAAATTTGATTTTGCTGTGCGACCTTAAGTTCTCGCGCACCAGGAAAACCGCACTAAGTAAACTTTAGTACCAAGATTAAATAAACGGCCCCAAAGGCGAATGAGCCCCGGAACGCTTACAATCAATCATCTCATCAATGCCACAATCAATCGATTTGGGTACCGAAGATGTCTCGATTGAATCTTTTTTGATCGATTATTCTAGACAAATTTAGATTTGATAGATTGGGGTTTGCATTTCGTGTAAGTCACGATGATGGAACATTTACAAATCGTGCTCACTTAGATTTTATGTCTCCATTCGTTTTGGACTATTTTAATAAACTAGAGATCCCACAGTAGTCGAAATTCGACTATAATAATTAATTGGAATTGTAAGTTTGTACACTATTATGATTGTATTTTATACTTCTATAATCACAAATTTTGCCAAGACTACACTATAAAAAAATATTAATAAAGACAAACAATATTTAATCTATTTTCAATTTGACCACAGACGTCAAGAACAAAAGTTTGACAATAAATAGTATGCATGCGTGTGTGCGTCAAATGCATGGTATGTAGTGTGCGTAATGTTTTCTTTATTGATTTAATGTATCTTTTATGCATTATTTTAAAAAAATGTTAGTATTGTGCACTTCTTCTCTATATTCTCTGTAAGTGTAGAAACTTTCGTAATCCTCCGTCCGCGCAATTTTCGTAAAAAGGGATACAAAGTTTTTGCTTCACGTATTAATATATAGATTCATTTGTAATTAGCTAGCAAATGTGAGATCTTATGACTAATATTTAAGTTACGAATTATCATTTTAAAATTTCTTACTAAACGTGAAGTGGAAATTTTTATATCTTTCGTTGAAAACAATAAAACGTAGGCGATTAAAAAAGTTACGGTTCAACCGCTGAAATAACACGTATCAGACGACTTATACAAATGTTCCTAACATACTACGCACTAATTTGATATTCTGCCCTGCAAAATTTGCGAAGTAACACCTGTTTCAGTTAGAATAGTTAGGTCTGTTTTGAATATTATTGAATCTGTGATCTAATTGCTCAAGTTGGTGGATACTTTTCAATATGTGGTATTAATGTACACCGCTATCTGTTTGATGATATTTTTTTCTGATGATGAGTGGTTACCGTCACTCATGGACGTCAGCAATGCCAGGGGCAGAGCCGAGCTGCCTACCGTTTATTGATACGCCAAAAATGAAACATTAACTAGCAACTCACGCCAATGAATGTAGACTATTTAAGTGAAATGATAAAATAAAAATGTTTGCGATTGCTGAAATTTATAGCTCACGGGATCTGAATGAGTTTTCCGCGTTTCTTTGACCACTAACGAGTTATACTTTCTCATCCATCTTAAGCCGAAATCCATAGAATATAAAATAAATTGAGTTTTATCGAATATTTCAAACACTAATTCTTTATTATAACATGACTATCATTATAGCTGGGTATATATTTAAATAAAATAGTTTTTTTTATGAATTAGAAATTATTACAATTATTCAAAAAGCTCATTTTACAACGCTTCTAAAAGTCCTGGGCATTTGCTTTTAGTAATCAAAGCCTAGTATCTCCTGTTAGTACTTTTAGTTGTAATTATCTATCATAACTGGAAACAAGACGAACCCGCAAGGATCACGAATCACAAAAGAAAAATGAACGGACATTAAAATTATTGCGACGTGAATCTTACTCGCTCGACCATCTTAATATGTGAAATAACGAAGACTTTACTTTTTATTGGTGGTAGGACCTCCTTTTTTTTTTTTTTTTAACGCTGTGGAATCCATTTACGGATACCCGGTCGAGGGGGGTAACGGACCGGGTTATGTCGGACTCCGGCGCCTCCTGAGAGGAAGAAGGGGAGAAGAGAAGAGCCGAGGTCCTTCACCTCCCCCAATTTCTCACAGGAGACTACGCCTTGAAAAAGGCGCGCGAAGCACTTGCCCCGCAGAACGACTACCGACTAAACCCCATCGAGCCCCACCACTCCGACTCCACGAAACCCACGGTACCGCACAGTGCGCGCCGAAGGCTCGCCGTCGCCGGTACCCATCCTGTTAATAGGACGGCACTCCATCCCCGGGAAAATCCCGCAGGACGTCGTCTCGGAGACACACCGTGAGCGGTGCACAGGAGCCACCTTGCGCCGCCTCACCACCGGACCAACAGCCGAGTACCGGGCACCCCCGCACCCGGCACCCGACAGCCCCTACGGGAGATGAACGGGAGCTTCGCGCCCGTGCCGCCCACTCCGCCTTCTTCGCTGTGAAGCCGAAGAGGGATCCCACTCCCTTTCGCGCTCCTCAGCCTCACGGAACGCCATGACCAGGTCGCAAAACCTGGTCATGGCCTCCCAAGAATTCTGGTCCTCTAGCATGCGGGCGATGACAGCCCGCAAGGAGAGGTCTCTCCCCAGCACCGCGATGAGGTCTCGCCGCGAGCGCTCCCAACGCGGGCACGCTTCGAGTGCGTGCTGAGCGTCATCGTCCGGATGCCCGCACTGGTGGCAACCCGGATGTGGCTCTCTCCTGCAGACCTTCCACAGGTACCTCCCGAAGCAACCATGCCCCGAGAGGACCTGCGTTAAGTGGAAGGAGAGCACGCCGTGTCGTCTATCTGACCATGCCTCCAGCACGGGCACCAGGGCCTCGAGGGTGCGTCGGCGAGTGACTGAAGTTTGGCCAAGCTCCTCCAGCAACCGCTCCCTCCACTTGGCGTACGCCAGATGACGCGCAGCACGCCTCCACCGACCGACAGCCGACGGGCCGGGCGTCCGTCCCCGACTCAGGGACTGTGTTCTACGCCGGTATACCGCAGCTGCTACCTCAGCCTCGAGATCCCAAGGAAGGGAACCGGCGAGGGCGCAGGCGACCTCCCGGGAGATCGTACGGTACCCCCTGATGACTCTCACCGCGAGCACCCGCTGCGCTCGTAGCAGCAAAGCTGCATTGCGCGCAGAGAGTGCGGGCGACCACACGGGAGCGCCGTACAAAGCCATACTGCGCACGACCCCCAGGTACAGACGCCGGACGCCGGCGCTGCAACCACCGACGTTGGGGAGAAGACGGGCTAGTGCGCCCGCCATCCCCAGCAGCTTCGGGACTAACTCACCAAAGTGGTGGTCGAAGCGCCATCGACTGTCCAGCACAAGGCCCAAATATTTGAGCTTCGGCTGGACTGGTAGGACCTCCTGTGGGTCCGCGCGAGTAGGTACCACCACCCTACCTATTTCTGCTGTGAAGCAGTAATGCGTTTCGGTTTGAAGGGTGGGGCAGCCGTTGTAACTGTACTTGAGACCTTAGAACTTATATCTCAAGGTGGGTGGCGCATTTACGTTGTAGATGTCTATGGGCTCCAGTAACCATTTAACACCAGGTAGGATGTGAGATCGTCCACCTATCTAAGCCATTAATAAAAAAACGCTTCAAATAAAGTTTTTTTAAAGGGTTTTTTGAAGAATTAAAAGGATTAAGTAAAGTTTCAATCCTTTGAAGATTATAAATACAAGCTTTACCTCAGACTGCGTAAACACAGCATTTTCCCAGGACTATTATCCTTGTTCGAACACGCCCCAATGTATGAAAAGCTTACCACCAATTAGTAAATTGGATGCACGCCTTTACGGCTCGTGACGGTCAAGTGACTAGTGATATACCGCAGGGCCCGGACCAAGCTCGGTATTTTAGTGAAACACACTTGGTATCCATCATCTGCATGTGCCTCTTGTATGTATGTATGTATCTATGTAATATATCTATCTATACATATAAATAAAGTTAGAGTGTCTGTTTGTAGTAATGAAATAACCGCTTTTTACTACATGCATATAAATACTTATATATACGGTACATACATCAAAATAACATTTTTTACAATTTTTGTCTGTCTGTCTGTCTGTCTGTGTCTGTTTGTTCCGGCCAATCTCTGAAACGGCCTTACCGATTTTGATGAGACTTTCACTAATAGGTAGCTGATGGTATGAGGAGTAACTTAGGCTACTTCTTTAGTCTAGCTTCGCCCCGCGGCGTCACCCGCAGTTATTGTCGTACCGCGCGCAACATGGCGGGACTCGCCTATCAAAAATAAAATTTAATGTTTCCGAAGCGAAGCGGGTCGCTAGTTTATTCATAAAAAGTTACACTTTCGTTTAAACCATGCCCCGCAAAACGGCTTACGCGGTGTGACTGCAGGTAACACGCTTTATATAAGCATAGCTTATAAATTATTAAATTAGGTTATATTAATACAACTAATTTACGTAAATGGTTACAACGTATTTAACAAGTGCTTTTTTAATTAACTTTTAATTTAGCAAGTATAAGCTCACGTCTTATGTCGTCGGGTAAACTATTGAGTGAGTATGGAACTTGTTTTTTTTAACTTTCTATCTCCCTAGTAATTTTGCACCATGGGTATTTCAAATTTACCTTGTGCCAGTTTTATTTTTGTTTTTAGTTTTATCCTTGTTTGAAATCCTAGCACGAAGCCGTTATAATAATATGTGGAACGTTTACTAATATGGCCCGACTTAGTCACACAATAGCGGGCGAAACTGCAGGGCGGGTCGGGGATTCGTGTGACGAACAGATTTGTTTGCTGTATATCTAAGCACTATAGTCTTTAATATCCATATACTGAAACATACGTATGTCGGTTAATATACGATTATTAATTAATATACGAAACCGCATTATTAAGGGCGAATAGGGTGATCGAATTAAGAGACATATTGAGTAACTACACAAAACACGTTTGTTGTCTTAGAACAATTTAGAAATCTTTTCTTGACGTTAGAAAACGAAAACGAATGACAGTTCTTAGGATGGAGGCATGGCTCTTCAAGAAGGCTGGTTGGTAATGGACGTCTATGCGCGCCTCCATCGACTAGGCTCTGTCGTAGTTGGTCGAGTTCCGACGACATCGCGATCGTGTTGTGACCTCTCAGGAATCCTGCTGCTACCAAACTAATGATCGTCTCCGATAGGTATAAAATGATGTGAGGTAAACTAGGTGAGGACTTACGAAGGGTGGCTAGGAGTGGTTAAGGAAGTAGAGGATCGGGCGCAGTGGCATAAATTGGGAGAGGCCTGTTTTCAGAAGTGGGCAGCTGTGGGCTGCTAACAATGGTGACCATGATATAAGTATGTTTTGCAGATGTGTATAAATGTATATATAGGTATATATAATTGCTTAGGTTTGTGGAAGAGCTCACGGCCCACATGGTAGTCCTTGGAGTCCATAGACATCTACAACGTAAATTCCGGTGCGTGCACACAGAACGGTCTACCTCCAGTAAAATGGACATGATAGTAACCTCCCGAAAACACTGTCAGTAAAATTGCCATGATGTTCCTTCTTATTAATTTTATTTAAGCCTTAAGCTACTGAAGCTCTGAGTGAATTTTACAAGCTATCTAGTTTAAAAAGGCTTCTAGAAAATTAGGTTCGTTAATAAAGAAGATATATGTTACAACTGTTCACTATACAAAGGAAAATAAATAAAACAAACTTAACATGAAACTGTATAATTTGTATTGAGGCTAACGATTCGCGAAAAGAAATAAAATTACATTTATTCAGTGGAAGACTGAATTATTACTGTATTTGTCTCAATTTAAAATAATTCATATTTATACGTATGGATTTATGGAAATCAATGCTATAGTTTAAAAATTACCATGAAAAACATCAACATTATCCTGCCCTTCTCCCAGTCACCTGGGGTCGGCGCAACATGTTTTCTCCTTCCATACTCTTCGTTCATATCTCAAGCCGGAGGTGTTGCTAACACTGGCTCTAGCAAGAGCAGTGCTTCGAGAATCTACCTCCGGATCGTGGTCCGGACCTTCGTGGTCTTACAGCTTAGAAAGATGATGTGATGAAAGCGCTTTAGCTACATATTCTTTGTTCCGACATTCAACTCATCATTCTCTTGCTCTTCTCCCAGTCACCTTGGGTCGGCTCAACATGTTTTCTCCTCTATACTCCTCTATCATATACCATTTCTTCGCTCACTCCCCTCTTACCCATATCGTCTTTCACACAATCTATCCATTTCTTCTTAGGTCTACCTCTTCCTCTATATCCTTCCACATTCATAGTTAACACTCTCTTACCAACCTCATTTTCATTTCGTCTCATCACATGTCCAAACGCGCACTCCTCAGCTTCTCTGTCACAGGTGCCACTTTCAGACTTCCTCTAACATATTCATTCCGTATTCAATCCATTCTCGTTACTCCACACATCCATCGCAACATTCGCATCTCTGCTGCATGCAATCGCCTTTCATCCGCCATGAAAACATGAAAAATAATGACATGAAATGAAAAGCAATAATATATAACCATGAAAAACAATATTATATAAAAAGAATCCGCCTCAAATATTATAATATAATTAGTCGTGAACAAATATTTTATCAGATCTCAGTGGCAGCTCTAGTGGTGCAACACATTGTGAAAATTGCCCTCTTGAACGGAGAAGCAATTTTCCAGATGACACGCTCTTTACGTACGGATAAAATGATTTTTGCAAAAAGTATCTCGCCCTCGCCATAAGGTTAAAAGCGTTAATATTTTCTTTTAGATTGTCAATTTATTTCATACTAGCTGCCTGGCAGACTTCGTAGTGCCTCAATCGATAAATAAAAGACCTAAGCTTTATCCGTCCGATGGGGGACACATCAAAGGAAAAACAAAATTATTTTTATTAAATTTCGAGCATTTTCATATATATCTACCTTTTAAACCTTCTCTGGACTTTCGCAAATAATTTAAGACCAAAATTAGCCAAATCGGTCAAGCCGTTCTCGAGTTTAAGCGAGACTAACGAACAGCGATTCATTTTTATATGAATAGATTATTGATTTTGACCCTAATTTTAGGTCAGACGAAAAAAAACCTTCATATGCCTTCCGACTGACAACAGAACAACAGAGAAGAAGAAAGAATCACCATGAAAGTCAGGGATTGGTTTTTTGTACACATTAGTCGTATAGATTTGAATCAAACTGAAAGAAATAGGTTTGCGTTATCACGAATTGGTCAAAGAACTCATAATTGTCACTCTGTGGATAAAAAATCCAAGCGCACGTTTTTTTCCGATATTTAGAAAATAATAAAGAGATTTTTGACTAATGGTAACCATTCCGGGAGGATGTTGAGCTCTCTATCGAATTAATCCAATGAGAAAACAATTAAATAACAAGATCCGGTATTTATAATCACAATTCAAAAAATTTTATCTGAGTAATGTCTTGCGAGCAATGACCTAATAATCTGTTATCTCTGAAACCAATTGACTGGAAATCGCTTTCAATGGAGCCGATAGCTTAATGTCCTTGCAATGGATTCAATGGATCAACTGAATGTTGATAACAATTCTTGGATACGATCAAGAATATCTACTAATCTGTTGAACTCTATGACCAGAGATTATATAGACGTGTAGACGCTAGTGTTGAGTGGTTACCGAAATCCATAAACATCAGCAACGCAAATGCCACCATCCCCCTTGAGACACCTTGCCCCAATATTTAAACAGAAAAGCATTACTGCTTCACAACCGATATAGATAAATAGACAGGTTGGTAGTACCTACCCGTGTGGGCTCACATGACGCACAACCACCAATCATTACACAAATTATATATTTTCCGGATTTAATTTTACTACACGATGTAATTCCTTTGTCATTTAAGTCATTCGTGAGCATGTGTTAACTAAGTATTTCATTAGAAAAATTTGTACCTGCCTACGGGATACGAAGACTGGCTTAGTCACATCGCTCGATACGAGTGCACCAGGTGTCTTAACCTGATACCGTGGGTTCTTCTGGTCTCAATTTAGACATTAAAAATACCACGGACGCAGCTCGGTAGCCGCTTATCCCCAAAGACTGCTTTCAAACTTTGTTCGAAGAATGGCATATCGTAGGGCATGGCAAACATTATCTCTGTATTTGTAAATTAGAAGAATGCAGCGGTTACCCACAGTAACTGTAGAGGTTTGACTCCACTTCAGTAGCGAGTAATATTTTGGTATAAGTAGCTGGTAGGATCAGATCAAACCAAAATTCGATGTGCAGCATGTTCTAAATGCTGCTTTATGAGGCTGTCAGGGACGAAGTTGATAGA